CCTACCCTTACCGTAACATGGCTGGTGCGCCCTTTCCCATAATGCTTTGTCTTCACTTGACTCATCAGACTGTGGCTGTCCCGGCGGCCAGGGCCCCAGCGCAGATTACCACGAGGCAGCTGATTGAATTGTTTTTCTCATCCCAGGCGGGCGGCCACTGCAAGAACATTCCTACCTTGGAGTATGGCTTCTTAGTGCAGGTTAGAGCTCAAAAAGATGTCAGTCCACTTACAAAGCCACTTCTACATTTTGTCTCAGTCATAGCTAAGAAGAAAGTAAACTAATTATCTGAGCATTAAAATACCACATGTTGTTTGAATGACTTAAAAATAAAAAATAATACCTGGTGAGTAATTTATAAATGGCTCCTGGGGATTTCATGATTGTTTGGTGTGAACCCACGCCATACAGTCTGTAGATTCTATTAGCTCCTAGTATTGTGCAAATGATTGTTGAGCTCTAAAATGTAATGTTATTCTAGGACCCAAAACCATGGCATTGTAACAACTTTGCCAAAATAGCATTCCTTTGAATGGCAGTGCTGAAGGTGACAATTAATTCAGAATTAAACTGCTTTTCCCCCCAAACAGATAATGAAGTACTCAGAACAGAGGATCCCCACACTTAATGAGTACTGCGTGGTTTGTGACGAACAGCATGTCTTTCAGAATGGATCCATGCTGAAGGTACCAGAGGCAAATAAGAGAAACACGTAGATGTATAAGTAAGAGATGCAGAAATATGAACCCTTATATAAGTGGAAAACATATCAGTAAAACTTGAAACATGATCTATGATTTTTTTTTTCTGTCAGTAATATACATATGCATTTTTCTGGTTGAAGATTTTCTTGCTTACTTAATACTGGAGTAAGCAAATGGGAAGATTGTGTGAGTTCATGTACCTTTTTGTGTATGGGTAGTAGATTTTGAAATAGGTGTAGTTTAAACTTTGTTTGTTCATGCAGCCTGCTGTGTGCACAAGGGAGCTGTGTGTGTTCTCTTTCTACACTCTGGGTGTAATGTCTGGAGCTGCAGAGGAAGTGGCCACCGGAGCAGAGGTGACCACAACACTTCGACAGTATATCAAATAATGCACATTATTTGGATTTTATAGTCCATTCCTTTAGATATCAGATAAAAATGCTGAAATATAGAGAAGAACAAAAATACCAATGTCAACATTTTGATCCAATTCTGATTACCTGTAGCTAATATGTGTTATTGGAAAAAACACAATTTCACTCATCAGCATAAACTGAAGGCACAAAATATAAATATATAATCCCTCTCTTCCCAGGTCGTGGACCTTCTTGTAGCTATGTGTCGAGCTGCCCTGGAGTCACCCCGTAAGAGCATCATATTTGAGCCTTACCCTTCAGTTGTTGATCCCAATGACCCCAAGACTCTTGCCTTTAATCCAAAGGTCAGCATCCTCACTGCATTTCTAAAGATCATATTTAATTCCATCATGACATTTAATTTGAAAAAGACATACTGCATGCTTAAAAAAAACCCACTTCTGCCATCAGAACAAACTAAAATTATTGTTACAATTCATTTTTCTATATCATATATTTCAAACTAATGATTAAACCTAAGACCTGTATGTCTCCAGTGATTTTAGATTTCTGTATGTTGTTCTCTTTCTTACTGCATACAATGGATGTTCGGCTCAACCGGTGAACACAGAAGAAGAATTATGAAAGACTACAAAAAGCACTGGACAGTGTAATGTCCATTCGGGAAATGACCCAGGTACAAGAAGGAGGTGGGCGGGAAAGTAAGGCCATAATAGTAGAGTAGCTTTTTTTTAAAAATGGGTTGAAAGGCATGTAAAATGCAGATAAAAATAGCATCCCAATGTATTTGGAAGTAGGCTTTTATGTGTATCGAGATTACTGACAATGTCCGTTCACATTTTTTT